CAGCAGGACGGCATTAAAGATGCTCATCACTAAACGGAATCAGTTGAGAGATGGGTGTGCAATGCATGTACCTCCCATGATGCTGCCATGCAAACTCAGTATTTCTGGTTCCTAACAAGGCACTGTGCATCAGGCAGGAGAGATGGGTAAAATCCACTTGCAAGGCTTGGGGTTGTCCCTCTTCTTTGCATGCACAGGCTCTACAAGCCAAAGGGACTTTACAGCTGGACAATACCTGCCTATGGGACAGGTGCTTTGACTTGGTACCTACCGAGTAGGTTATCTACCAAGGACCAGTAATGCTCCTGTAAAAGGACATTAAGAAACAAACCCTCTCATCACATCCTGCATTCTCTTGTCGTACATAACTCTTTATCAAGGAGGAACTGAGACTTGATGAAAGCAGAGAGATTGTTGATGTAGTTGAAGGTTATTATTAATTACAGTCTGGATATGTCAGAAGCAACAGCCGCTACCCTCTGCCAGGCAGGTTTGCTCAGCAGTACCATCCTCTATTCAAGCCACGACACTAATTTATATAGTTTTTTATAGGACATATAAGAAAATTGATTAACTTATTTTATCAATGTGGGCCAATCAATTTGGAAGGAAGCTTGCAGTGTCCATTTCCATAACACAGCATTTCTCCTGCTCATACCTGCCAAATTTCAGCATTCTGTTGACTGCTGCTTTGGCAAACAAGGCTAACAGCTATCTCCTTGTGCATCCTCCACTGCATATCCAAGTATTACTAGAGGTTAACTTCAGCAATTGAGGCTCCAGCCACTGGCAATGAATGAAAGGCAAGAAACTGTAACGACTGAGATAACAGGCAGCATAATGTGCCGAACTTGAGTGAACTCCTGGGGTGTGAGTGACAGTGCCCTGACACAATTTACATTCAAAATTCATGGCGTGTTTATGCAGAGAAAATATGTGGAATGTTTTGAAACTCTTTTCATGGTGTCCTTCAGTAAATTTTGCTTCCCTCTTCTTCTGCTGTAGAGCTAAAAGGAGGTAAAGAAATGAGAGGGAGGCAGAAGAAAAGAGCAGAGGTTTTCCCAGTCTATAGCTATTCCACAAACACACAAACCCTGGCACAATTTGTGAATGTACAGAACCTCCTGGAAGCAAATTTGACTTAATATATTATAATTCACACAGGGAATTCTCTCTGTTGTTCCATCAACCTTGGTTCTTAAAGGGGAAAACAGCACCAGATAAAACACTTGGCTCTTTACAAGGGGGTAATATCCTAAATGAGTAGTCTTTAAACAATTAAGTCTGGTAATGATTTCTGTTTCTGAAACGCTGTTTCTGGCTTTGTATTTTTTATTGGTGTCAGCTTTGTCCTAGATGTAATTTGGTTTGCAATTCTTTTTGTGAGTGAAGTGATAAAGTAACAGGGCAGGAGCCCTTCTGATGCTCTTGGTGGATTTGGCTTCACTGCAAGGATTACCTGTTGACTGGGAATTTTAGCAACTGACTTTCTCACAATGGGAAGTCAGGTCCAAATCCTTGTTCTGTGGCTGATTTTTATTGAGTAGCTCTCCTGCTGAGCTGGATGTGATTCCACACGGAATGAGGCACTGCTCAGCCTAAGTAAGGTCATCTGTCCTTGCTGGCTCTGCCATTTTTCAGTTAATCTAGCTGAGGCTGAAACATCCCAGACAGTCAGTGTTTATAAACATCTCCTTGTTCATCTGACACATCTGGGATGAGCCAGACTCTCTGGGTCTATGGCATTAAGTTGTTTGCACATGTGTGGTTGATCCAAGGTGCTCAGGATGGATCTGTTGTACATGCATGTACACGTACACTGGGCTCTGTTGTGGCTCATGGTCATCCAGGGACAAGTACTGGTCGCTGCAATCTATCCTTAAACCACTTCTTTTACTGTCTCTGTCAAGGAAGAACAACTCCCTTGGCTTTAACCCATCTTCATTTCTTATTTTCTGCAAGTCCTTTAGGAGGATCTCAGGATTTCACACGGTGTCTCCACAGGTGATTTTGTGAGGGAATGTACTGAAACATCTTTCTTGAACCATGAGTTGAACTGCTCTGTGACTTGCAGGGGATCCAGCTGCTTGGTGTGTCTGCCCATGAGTCCCTACACTAAAAAGTTCTTAAGCCACTGGTCAGTGCAAGTTGAATTTGGTAATGAAATAGAGACCCCAGAGAGGTTTTTTCCTCCAATCTCTAGGGGAATAGGCAACCTGCAGAGAATCACAGAATCATCAAATGCTTTTGGTTGGAAGGGACCTTAAAGCTCAACCAGTTCCAACCCCTGCCACGGGCAGGGACACCTTCCACTAGAGCAGGTTGCTCCAAGCCCCTGTGTCCAACCTGGCCTTGAACACTGCCAGGGATGGGGCAGCCACAGCTTCTCTGGACAAAGAAATGAAATGCAATGAAATCCAATGAAAATGCTACAGACTGAATTCAGTATGTTTAGAGATCAAGACAAATACCAGTAGATTCTGCTCATCACAGACCTCTTTGCCATGTGTCCTCCTCCCAGCACTTTTGGTCAGACACAGTCTTGCCACAGCCTTTGGTTACGAAAAAAATCACACCAAGTCTTAGGGGTTGCATGAACTGGAGGACGAGGCTGTTGAGGTTCTGTTGTACTCCTCTTTTCTGGATGCTTCCCAAGAGCCTCCCTAGAAAAAACTGACAGCAGGGGTGGGATGGGATGGACCTTTTTATTTGAGTGCTGTGAAGAAAGGCACAGCGTAGTTTAACACAGCCATAAGCCGTGTCTGGAAAATGCTGCTGTTGTAATTGTGGCAATACAGTCTACATGTGTGTGTAGATGCCCACATTTTGGTGTAAAAATGTGTGTGCTTTTACACCCCACTAAGGTGTACTGAAAAGAGTCTGTGTCTTAAAAAAATAGCGTAGTGTGAAAAGAAATCTGTGAAAAACAGGAAGGCTGAAATAAACCAAGGGTCTGCGACCTGTGTTGACACAATTATGAGTCAGTTCATACCTTTTGGTTCCCTCTGTGTTTACAGGAGACGCTGTGTTTGACTATCCATCATCTGATGTCTCACTGAAAGCCTTGCTTAGTAGAGCCCTTTTTTCCCCTCCTTCTTTTGCATAGAAATGAAAAAAAAAATCAAAACACCTGAGAGAAACACTGTTTTTTGATAAATAAACAAACTCTGGAAACATCTTTATTAAAAGCACCATTTAGCCAAGGAGCTGTTTTGTTGGATTGCACTTAAAAGCAACTTCTTTTCTCCTTTCTTTTTTGTCCAAAGTATGCAACACCTTTTGCAGGGGAGTTCAGTGGCTGCCATTGTGTGCTAATTAAACAACCAAGTGGAACAGGGATGCTGCACTAATACCTTTACTGGGCTTTGAGAGAAGCTTCTATATGTATACTTGTACATTATGAATGGCTAATACACATTTCTATTTGCAGCTCTCTTCCCAGCTGTATGTCATAGAATGGCTTGGGTTGGAAAGGACCTCAAGATTATCTAGTTCCAAAGCCTCCTGGCTGCATTTAATTGTATTAAACCAGCTAGCCCTTTCCAGGATAGTATTGGCATTAGCAACCCTTTCAATTGATGAAAACTGGTGTTTGAGACACAAGTAACAATAACTCATGCGATGGATGCTGCTAGTAGGTGGCATTCTGCTATCTTTAAAACTCACATCTGATACCTTAGCAAGAGAGAGGTGTTTCAAGGGAAGAGAAAAATAGCAAGGCACAGCTTGAAAAATTCCTACATTTGACAACCATGGCATGAAGAGATGCCACAGGTTAGGGATACCCACTAGTTTAAAGGCCATCAGTAAACACGCATAGAAGAAAAGGCTGTAATTTTAAAGGGCAGAGTGTCTTTTTGATGATAAAAGATTCTCAATGTCTGTAAATATTTCTCAATGACGCAAAAGGTTCTGTTGGTTAAAAGTGTGGAATTTTTATTTATTTTGCTCAGACCCATTCTGTGCTTTTTTCTTCCATAAAAACTCTGCTTGGGTGAAAGAGTTGATTATTCTGATCTTTGGCAAATTTTCTTTCGCAACTGTCCAAATGCTATATAATAAATCAAGAGGTTTTTTCCCCCCTAGATTGAAGCTTGTAGGGAACCTGCCACAGAATGTGGCTGCTGTTTGTTGCATAGAGTGATTTGTTGCATTATTGGAGAAACCTTTAACTCCTTCAGGAAAGCAGTTTCTGGTTGTGCATTGTGCTCATGCAGAAGGAGAACTCTGTTGATTTCTTGTGTTAGATATTTATATTCAATGAGATTTCACAGGCAGAAAGATCAGCCCCATTAATACAAATTTGGCCATGCTTGGTTTAAAAAGAGAAAAAGAAAAACCCCTCCCTGTGCCATTTAACCTCTTAGGTGACATTTGTGCCCCTTTTATCCAGGATAGAAGTAGCTTGAACTTCCAAATGTTTTCAGTGCTGTTAAAAATACACTTCTGCTTGAGAAATGCTTTGTAGAGATGGGGAACAGAGTAAGTGGGACAGAACTGAAGCCACAGAGTTCACATGCTCACTTTTTACAAAAGCTGGCCCTCTTTCCTCTTTTTCATATTGTACTTCTTCAGACATGATCAAGACCTTCACCTATATGATTTTATTTCACTCACTTTGGACTTTATCTACCTGGAAGCGTATTGATGGTTCAGGCTCTGCAATGGGATTCAGACCTACCTAGACGAGGTTTTTGAGCCACCAGCTTGGGTGCTGGTAACAATCAAGAAGCAGCAATATAGACATGAGTGACAGAGAGATGCTCAAGTATTCATCCAGCTTCCTAGAAATGCTTTGCAGCCTGCACTGAGCTCCATCCTGTGGCAGAAAGACTGCTACTATACCCCAGTTATCTCATTTAGAGGGCACCCCTGTTCTGCTCCACGGTGCTGGGGCATCTGTCATGAATTCCCACCAGCAAT